TCTCATCATTTGAGGCAAGGAGGCATTCTCGCACTGGTAACTGTGCAAGGGTTAACCAAGACAGCTTTGAAGTTTCTGACTAAAGCTGTTATCTCCAAGTATGCTGCAATACCTGCCAAGAGAGGAGGAGCCCCAGATCATCAGCATCATTTGTCAGCGCTTCCTGCCTGCTGCAGCCATTCAGTCTTTTGACATCATTCTCTGAATTTGTTTCAGAAAGCAGCACTGTGCAATCTCAATTATAAAGCAGAATGGTCTCAAAGCATGATTTCGTACATGATTTAGTGCTAAATCAAGAACCTGACGGATGACAGCAGGTAGCCTCTATTTATTTAAAAGGTAGAGGGATGGGCAATAGGTCTCCCTGCCTTTTAAGAGTGTGTTTATAAGGCCAAGCAGTGAATTGCACAGATGTGAGGCTTCTGTTCACATCACTCACTGTGATCTGCCACCCCCAAGTACTACATTGCGTTTATGGCTTAAGAGCTTTAGTTTTGAGTTGCGTAGCCAGATTTCACTGACTGTGTGCCTCAGATCCACCAGTGAAAAGGGCCACAGGGTAACACAAGGTGTGACTTTTATCAGCTGTAGACAGGAGGTATCGGTTAATTGAGTGATCTAAGGCTCTGGCTGGTGATTGCTCACATTAATACTCCGTAATCAATTCCTTTGTGGTGCAGCCTGTCTGCCAACCACAGGCACAAAGCAGCTGTGAACATGCAGCATTAAAGGACTAGACCCCGTGCAACAGTCATCCACTTACAGGATGACCACTTTAGGTTGAAAGTAGGTTCTTCAATAGATCAACTGACAGATACAAGTACACAAATAACATTCCTCGATTAAAAAAAAAAAAAAAAAAAAATAAAAATCCAGGCTGAAACACTGGGGAAGAGAAGGGGGAGCTCCTTTAGGATTGTTTTCCCCCCACCTCCTCCAAACTCTGATGACCCGAATACTTTATAAAGGAAACTTTTACTTAAACAGGAAAAAAATCCCACTTTGTTTTGAGGAGAGAAAAAACACAAAACAAAATGCTTCTGCTTTTCTTTCTAGGTAGACTTTTTCCTAAGCAAACAATTTGCTGAATATCAACATGAATTTGCAAACTGTTTTGATCAACCTGAAGCTGCATGTTTAAGAGGTGATGTTTCAGCTGAAAACATTCACTCATCTTTACTGCTGGCTACAAAAGTAGAGCTGCTTCTACTGCTGCATCTACACAAAAAAGCACATCACCGCAATGTCAAGAAGCTACTTGATTCTAGAGATGACCCCTAGCTTTTAAAATTCCTAACCAAATTTTATGCAGCTCCAAATGCTGAGGATACGTAGATCTAACACTTTGGCTTAGCCTAACTGCAGTACATTCAGGTCT